TCAAGTAGCCGATGCGATCGAGGCTTGAAACGTGATGTCCCATCCAAAAGTTTGTCTACTTCATCTTGTTCAAGAAGAAAATGAAGTGTTTCGTGAACTGTCAAAGAAAAACTTTTAACAAAAAACAACTTTCTTAAATGGTTCAGCACCGTCATCTTTTATTATTTTACCAATAAGAATTGCAAAATGCTTTCATACCCTTGAGTTATTCTGCAATTTCGTTTTGATCTCTCTTTCTTTTTGAAACTGAATTCAGTCCAATCTCACACCTCCAATCATTTGTCACCTGTCTCCGCCTCAGGACTCATATGCCTAGTCTATGTGTCTACAAAACATTCTTTCCCGAAAGACCTGCTTTTATCTCGACATTGCACTGCTCCGCTAATCGCAACGCTTTATTCGCCAACCGTCCATCAGTGTCCATCTCGGCTCTGCGGGCCGCTAGCCAGTCACGCAGGGCTGCGTTAACCTGTTCAGCTTGCTGCCAACGCCGCTCAAAACTGGCTAGCTGTACCAAGGTCTCTTGTTGGCCGAGCTTAGCGCCAGCAATGGTCAACTCATTGTTAATGCTCTGAGTCAGTCGTGACAACTGATCGACACGAGCATTCAAAGTTTGATACTCCGACTGAAGCTGGAGAAATAAAATATGTAAAGATTAACATGGAAGAGAAGACAAGAAGGCGAAAAGTGTTTCAGTTACCCTAACTGGCATCGGGTGATGAAGTACCAATAAAAAAGTAGTCGCATCGAAAATGTAGTCAATTCTAAATAAAAATAAATCTTGGGAATCAAGACTAACGTAGAATTGTGGAAAAATTCATCACTTTGTGCAACCTAGGGTGACTAAAACTCTTATTCAAAATTTTCTTCTAATTAATCATAAAAAATTGCTTTTCCAAGACTCAGCTTGTAACCTAATTTATAAACATACAAAAAAGAATAAAGTATGAAATTTGAAATCGATGCGAATAAGGCGTTTGCCACTAGTGGACGTAAGTAACTGAGATGAGGAAATAAAATGATTTAAGCATACTTTAGCTCAAAACAATTATCCACTATAATTAATAAGCTTGTACTTTTTAATACTCAAATATAATGTGAACAACTATCTATATAGGGCACGGCAGGATGTATGATGTTGCCGAACCGTCAGCTAGCAAAAGAGCAAGGTGAACTATTGAGGATATGGGACATCGGAAGATAAAGTAAAGATAAATTTTCATCTTCTAGATGAGGATGTTACCAGGTTTTTGATTCATTTGATAATTTCTTTGGGGTAATGTGATACTGGAGAGATCTGGCCTTTCTTCAACTTTGATTATGTCCCCTGACCTACAGGTTCTCGTTTCAATATAAAGTAGTGGTAAACTCTCGAAATTATAAACCAAACTAACCTAGTTCGAGTCTTATTGGGGGGTGAAACCGAGGCGAGGTCGAAACTGAAGTCCATCCTAATTTGGAAAACGTTTAAACAAACAAGGCTAAGTAAAATTTAGTAAAAACTTGAGGCCAACTCATAATATTGGGGAAAATATATTTATTATTCTTTCATTATTCTATTACAGATTTACCGAGGGCATATGAATTCTTATTTAAATGATAAAATGCCTCATTAGAACTGCCAGATGAGGCCTGAAAAGTAGGTATGATTTTATTCAGCTACATTTTGGGTTTAGCATATTTGTAAATTCCTACTCTGACAATCTCTGCGACAGTGGAGAATTGAGAACAGCAATCCTTCTTGGATTTACGGTGAGGCAATTCAAACAAACTTTCTATGTAAATTGAAAAGTTGACTCTTATGGGATGGCATACACGGACCAGCCAATCACTGCCAGACTAAGATGGGGAGAGATAATTATATAAATCAGCTGTCCTGGAGAATACATATAAGGAAAGGGAATAAGAAGCTAATTAATAAGGTTAGTAGGCAGATAAGAACCTTAATCGCCTTCACTGACCAAAGGTAATGTAAGACGTCATAATTGCAGCTAAATTTAACTTGGCCTTGCCTCCCAAAAGGCTTTATCGTCAAACCTGGACTACAATTTTTACTTCGACTTGATTCTATCAAAGAAAATGGGGTTTTACACTATCAGTAAATTTTTTTTTAAACCTATGATCATTGAGCTCACTTCCATCTCGAGTGATAACAGGTGTGATGAACATATTCAAAGGATGATACTGCCCGAAGATGACCGCAGATTACATTCTTCTAGCCATAATTTAGCTTTAGTGATACCTTCTAGTTGACGCTATACTCAAGGTAAAAACGTGATGAATGGGATGCCATTGAATTTCACAAAGGTCATTTGTGACTGCACGATACAAAAGGCAAATCAGCATTAGCTTCCTGTTCCTTAAAAATCATATCCGGGAACAGAAGTATTACAGTGATTGATTCGCGTAAGATTATAAAAGTAATATTTTTAGTAGTAAATTCGGCATCGTTGTTGCAGAAAAAGTCACTACATTTAAAGAAGAATTTTTCCACAGGCGATTTCTCCGACAAACGGGCATGATGCTCCATAAACTGTATTGCTTTTCTTATAATGAATCTTTGACTTTTGATACTGTTTGGTTAT